AATGATCTCATTGATGTCACGAAGAGCTACCATGATGAAGGTTGAGGCTGGTAGCGCGGATAGCTCTTGTATTATGTAAGGCATCCAGGCCAGACTTCCAAGGCTGTGGGGCGCTCACCTACAACACATAGACTACAGTGGCAGTGGCATCTTAGAGGTCTCCCTGTTCACAACATCAATCATTAACAACAAGAAGTTCTCTGAATCGCGGCCCTGAATACTACTGGAATACCTGGTGTCTCTCACTGCATGACACGTACACTCATAAAGACCTCATATAGCAGCCCGGGAATAATACGTTACGCGGCGCCGGTGAGCCCCAGCCATCAATATGGACGTCGCCCAAGCAGTATCAGGGTACATCAATAAGGTGGTTACGACGAGCGATACGTCGTCCGCCAAGATGAAAATTCTCTTACTCGATAGAGAAACAGTCTCTATCGTCTCGACTGCGGTCACACAGTCTTCTCTTCTCAACCATGAGGTCTATCTCATCGACCGTTTGGACAATGCTGCGCGTGAGAAGATGCGACACCTACGATGTCTATCATTTGTGCGGCCATCGCCGGAATCAATTCAGCTACTCATAGATGAGCTTCGTGATCCCAAATATGGCGAGTATCACTTGTACTTCACAAATGTTGTCAAGAAGTCGTCCTTGGAACGCTTGGCTGAGGCTGATGACCACGAGGTGGTCAAACTGGTCCAAGAGCACTTTGCTGATTACAATGTCATCAACCCTGATCTCTTTTCTTTCAGTTTTACCCTTCCGCAACAGAGAATTTGGGCAGGGAGTCCTGATACATGGAATCCCGACTCTTTACAGCGATGCTCAGAGGGCTTGGTTGCCGTATTACTCTCACTCAAGAAAAAGCCTCTCATTAGATATCAGAAGACAAGCCCCCTGGCGAAGAAGCTCGCGTCAGAGGTCCGGTACTTGATGACCCAAGAGGATTCACTGTTTGACTTCCGAAAAGTTGATACTCCTCCCATTCTGCTTGTGTTGGATCGCCGGGAAGATCCGGTGACGCCACTGCTCACACAGTGGACATATCAGGCCATGGTTCACCATCTCTTGGGTATTCAGAATGGGCGTGTCGATCTAAGCGATGTTCCAGATATTAGCCCAGAGCAAAAGGAGATCGTTCTATCACAGGACCAGGACCCATTCTTCAAAAAGAACATGTTTCTGAACTTTGGCGACCTTGGAGGCAACATCAAGGAATACGTTGGCCAATTCCAGTCGAAAACCAAGAACAATGAGAACATCGAGTCAATATCGGATATGAAGCGATTTATTGAAGAATATCCAGAATTCAGAAAACTCTCCGGCAATGTCAGCAAACATGTTACCCTGGTATCAGAACTTAGCAGGCGTGTGGCTGCCGATAACCTCCTAGAGGTTAGTGAGCTGGAACAAAGTCTGGCTTGCAACGACAACCACGGGACTGACGTAAAGGTATTACTTGTCCTCTTGTATGAACCTTGGGCATGAGCTAATACAATTCATAGAATATTCAGCGACTCATTCAATCACCGAACGTCACACCAGAAAGTAAGGTTGGCCTTGTGGCTTTGTATGCTCTCCGCTATCATAAGCATCCTTCCAACACTTTGCCCATGCTTCAGGACCTCCTTGTCGCTGCCGGAAACGTATCTCCGCGAGAGGCGGATCTGGTCAGCAAGGTGACGGCGTATCACAACTCCCTTCAAGCGTCACAGTCTCAGGGCGGAATTTCAGAAATCTTCGAATCGGCCGGCATTTTCTCCGGTACTGGCAGCCGCTTCAAGGGCCTGAAGGGAGTAGAAAACGTCTATACACAACACAGCCCATTGTTGGAGACTACCCTCCAGAACTTGATCAAAGGGCGACTCAAGGATCAGCAATACCCCTTCGTCGAAGGTGGTGGCACGACCAAGGACAAACCTCAGGATATAATAGTATTCATCGTCGGGGGTGCGACTTATGAGGAAGCCAAGATGATTGCGGAATTGAACGCGTCGAGTCCGGGCGTCAGAGTAGTTTTAGGAGGGACAACAATTCACAACTCGGCGACATTCTTGGAAGAGGTGGATGATGCTGTCAGTTCATGGCCAGAGAGCCGTGGTAGGAGGTAGAGATTACAGTCACATGAGAGATAGTATCAATTGCAGCGACTATTTTGAGCCATTTTAGATCAATTACAGATCTACCAGTGAATTGTACCTAAACTTCCTGTCTGTTGCAAGGATGTATCATGATGAAGTACTGATGTGGGTGAGGGAACGCCAATTTGTAACCTGATTGGATGAAATGCCTTGACTAAACCCGTACTTTCTGGTGCCAACACCCAAAATTTGGAGCTTGATCCCGTCATGAGGGCAAATTTTACGACGACAACAACATGAAATGCGTGCGCTACTAAGACCTAGGGCAGCCGCACTACGGCATCAATGGACAATTACGAGACGGCGGTACCTTGCGAGTGTTTCCGGTGATTTACAGTACGTCTCAGCAAACAATATCTCGTCGTCATGACACCCATCGCATCGCAAACCATCACTGACACCCCGCTCTAGACCTTACGATGTCGTCGTAATCGGAGGCGGTCATGCGGGCGCTGAAGCATGTGCTGCTGCTGCACGATCTGGCGCAAGAACAGCCTTGGTAACGCCGAAAATCGACAACTTGGGAACGTGTTCCTGTAACCCGAGTTTCGGCGGCATCGGCAAGGGCACGATAATCCGAGAGATCGATGCGCTCGATGGATTGGCGGGGAGAATTATAGACAAATCAGGTGTACAGTTTCATACTCTGAATCGGCGAAAAGGCGCTGCTGTCTGGGTTCGTCGACTCTTGGGAATCGTTGTTGGAATAATCAGTGACTAATGAACCCGGCGACAGGGACCCCGCGCTCAAATCGACCGAGAACTCTACAAGAAACACATGAAGGCCGAACTCTCTTCGTATCCCAATCTGTCGATCGTACTCGACAGCGTGTCCGATATCGTCACTGAGCCTCAGGAATTGTTCGAAGGCGCGTCAAGTCGCATTGCCGGCGTGCGCCTGGAGTCCGGTCAAACTCTCCCAACAAAAAAGGTCATCATAGCCACAGGGACATTTCTCGGAGGCGAAATACACATCGGGCTGACGGCATATCCAGCTGGTCGACTCGGTGAGGCGGCGACATTCGGGCTGAGCAAGTCACTGCGTGATGCGGGCTTCGAGCTGGGACGCCTCAAGACTGGCACACCCCCCCGAATCGACGCAGCGAGCATAAACTATGATGTGCTGGAGAAGCAGTATGGCGATGACCCACCAACACCATTCAGTTACCTCAACGAAACTGTGGCCATTCAGGAGCAGATGACTTGCAGTGTTACGTACACGACGGAGGATACTCACCGGATAGTACGTGAAAACCTTGATAAGACCATACACATTCGAGAGACAGTCAAAGGCCCACGCTACTGCCCCTCTCTCGAGTCAAAAGTCATTCGCTTCGCCGACAAGGAACGACACATAGTTTGGCTCGAGCCCGAAGGTTTGGACAGCCCTGTCATCTACCCCAATGGCCTGTCCATGACAATTCCTGCTGAGGCGCAGGAGGAGGTCTTGCGCACAATCCCAGGTCTCGAGAACTCAAAAATGCTTCAGCCCGGGTACGGTGTTGAATATGACTACATCGATCCACGTGGTCTGAAGTCGACCCTCGAGACAAAAGCCATCAGCGGTCTCTACTTGGCTGGTCAAATTAATGGCACAACTGGGTATGAGGAGGCTGCTGGCCAAGGTGTCCTTGCGGGCATTAACGCCGGTCGTTCGTCTCAGGGCTTTCCACAGGTTTTTCTCTCAAGAGGGGATGGGTACATTGGCATCATGGTGGATGACCTTATCACGAAAGGTGTCACTGAACCCTATCGGATGTTTACCTCTCGAAGTGAATTCCGCATGGCATCACGTGCTGACAACGCTGATGTTCGACTGACATCCAAGGGCTATGGGTGGGGCGTCATATCGGAGAAGCGCTGGAGTCGTTTCCGTGATGAGAGACAGCAGATTGATGACCTTACCAAACTCTTACAGTCGGTGTCATTGAGCCCCCTACAGTGGATCGAGAAGGGGTACCATATGAAGCGCAACACTCAGCGTCGCGATGGTATAAATGTCCTCCGTCTCTCAAACCCTGAAACACGTGTCGACGTCGATCGGCTTGCACCAGTCATCCCAGGCGTAATGGACTTTCCGCCTCGCGTACGCCGACGTGTTGAAATCGAGTCCTTTTATGCCCCGTACATCAAAATCGCCGAGTCAGAGCGCAAGCAGCTAACAAACGATGAGCGCGTCAAGATACCTCTCGATCTCAACTATGACAATATCCCTGGGCTTGCAATGTCAGAGAAGGAGGCACTCAAGGCAGCGAAGCCAGAGAACCTCGCACAGGCGAGGCATGTCGAAGGCGTGACTCCGTCGGGCAGTTTACGTTTGCTCGCTCACGTTCGTCGAAGGCCTGAAGCATACTTGTTGGAGAATGATGCTTCACGTGGGCGCAAGACAGAAAGGACGAATAAGAATCGAGGTAGTGTATAGGTTAATTGGGATCAATCGCATATAACTGGCGTTTCATTGAATAAGGTATCTGGGGGGGAACAAGAGAGGTTTTAAATAGATCTTTTAAAAGTCAAAGATTTCTGCCACACTCTCAGCATTATCGTCTAATTGAGAATTCGAGACTGAAAGTTCGAATATGCAGTTTAAGATTTGTTCTATCATCATCGACGCTAGTGTTGTACATCAAGGGGGTATATGCAGGATGTTCTAGCTCAAGCTCAAGCTCAAAGTTCTGTTGGAGCCTTGCTGAACTTTGTCTTGTTCGAATTTTGTCTTTTCGTTCAAACCTTGCGTTTCCTGCTTTCTGTATGACCCTAGGCTCGGGCCGCGTTAGGTGAAGCCAAATTTGTGGCCTTTTCTGTTACTATCGTGGTCTGCAGCTTGATAGACTTTGAACGGCGATGTCAAATCAATCTCTTTTAGAGTTCTGCTTATTAAGGATTTTTACTGCATCCTTTGTGTAGATGTAGCTTGCACCACTCCAAATGGTGGTAGCAGCAACGACGTATCTGGGTACATTTAGAATGAGAGTTATGGAAAGCCAGTATGGTATAACTTACTGCATGACTGTCAGGGCAGATGACAAGTCGGTGCTCAAAAGGGGCGCAGCAGTCGTGACTCCGACGAGCGCAAGTTGCAAGAAGGTGTTGTACTTGCTAATAGTCGTGGGGCGAACTTCAGCTGATGGAAGTGAAAAGTCCCAATAGCGGGCAAATGTCTTTGGTGGAGGGAGAGAAATCCATCGGTAGTAAATTGCAGAAATAGCGAGGCCGACATCACGACCCAGGATGATGCCAGCGCACCAAACTTTTACACATTAGCTTTTGAGTTATCACGGGTCAACAGGGAGCATGCACGCACTCGGCAATGCGCCCTTGGCTGCCAGACAAATGGTCAGGATCGTCATGAGAGTTTTATCTGCCATTGGATCAATGACTGTGCCCACGACTGTCTTGCTGTCCCAGCGACGCGCAATCCATCCATCGAGGAGATCTGTTACACCGGCATAGGCAAAGAGGCCAACTGCCCATGCGTGCTGATCGTGAAGAACGAGGTATCCAATGACCGGGGCAGCGACGAGACGTGTGAAGGTTAATATGTTGGGCAGCGTGTAAATGTCTTCGTGCAGGACGGCAGCGGGGCGTGAGGGCTTGGTATCGTTATCGTGTACAGGTTGAGTCCTATGTACAATGGGTCAGTACAATGCAGTCAATCGGTACAGCTGGACCCTGTACTCACCCGGTAGGATTCTCCTCTGGCTTTTTCTGTTGGGGCTTGTGATCCGACCATGACTGGGCCTTTGTGAAGAAGAGACACCGTGGGGTTGATGCTATCGTGGGTCTGGGCGCGGACCTCACGAGAGCAGGTATTGACCTCGCGGTACACCTCGTCGTCGCCCGCCAAGCCAATCTGGCGGAGAGACTCATCTCTGCGCTTGTCTTGTCCTTTTCGAAAACGGGCGCTGCCCAAACCCTCTCGTCAGTCGCTCAATTGCTCCCGGGAAGGTATAATCTTGCTTGGTTATTCTGGCGATGCAGTTGGAGCAAAGTTGGGAAACCCCGTTTAGAACCCCGGACCCCGCTTATCTCATGTCACGATTTGGCAATATCGAGATGCCACCAACTTCGCGATCTTGAGTCTCATGATATATAGTTGAGTCTCATACTCTCAATTATCTATTCATTCGACTTTATGAATTTCAGACCATCATATATCATGAATATTTAAAGCGTCTGCTACTATCCCAAGGCCCTCTTGTTTTTGAGTTTGTCTCAAACCCTGTTGGTAACGAAGCCGGTATCATTGGTTGTGAGACTCTTCAGTATACTTGTAGGTTGCGACGAGTAAAGGCAAATCGGATAATTAACGTATCTAAGCATTTTCTGTCTGAATCAGAGTTTCACAGGTCATATTAAGGGTTTACTTGATACATCTGTAAACTTAAGTTGAGATTGACAGCAGCGCAGTTCAAGATGTTCAGAGAATGGAAAACATGGGCCTACCCTAAAGTGCCAGTGTATGCTGACACAGAGCATGCCAACTGCCCAGTTCTCGGGAGATAGAAAGCTGGATCGAGAGGTCCTCATACTTGGACATTTTGGGGGGGGGGGGGGGGGCATTGTGAACTCCCCGAAGATTGGTCAGAGAGTATAGCCGTAATACGTGGTAAGTACGGACAGCCAAATCTGGATGAAGACGTGTCGGTGGCTTCTCAGAAGAGCGCTCCAGATTACAATACGACTATGATCATTACCACGGTGACTATTCACAACACTTACAGTCGTCGCGGGCAGGCGGCGTACAATTCGTATCATGACCATTATGGCGTCCCCCGCACTGCAGCGTCGTAGTACAATAGCGCAGCGTACCTAGGTGGTTGGGGTTGACCAGAGGCGCAACTGGGAAAGCTGGTGGCTGTTTCACAGACGTCACTATGTTCCCACTTCTTAGCTATTCGAAATCATTAGACCGTAGACTGGCCGCTAAAATCAAAAGGAACTACGCAGATGCCGAAGGGACTGATATGGATCGTCTGCCAAAAAATGGCTCCGGCGTGAAAGAATTGATAGTCAAGGTCGAGATCGAATTGACAGGACTGGACCGGACTGTTTAGGGCGTAGCGCTAGCGCTGAGGAACTGGCAGATCAATCCGAAGAATGTGACGCGGTCCCACGTGACCCCGCGTTGTCACCTTCCACGTCCCTTGGAGAGACAAGGATCATAGACAGGGATACCAAATCGATAACTTAACTCAGACGACGCCCAAAACATTAAACCATAACTCCAGATTTTTAGAAATCAACTTCAAACCGTCACCCGAAACTCAGTCGATCTGGCCAAACTCTTGTTCTCAAAACCGCTGGAGTCAAAAGGCAAAGATGGCTGGGTCCCGAGAGGATCCCGTCGAATTGGGGAGCGACATGGACGAAGATGAAGCGCTACGCTATGCTATCGCCCTTTCACTCCAGGAACAAGAGGGACAGGGAGACCAGAGTTCGCAGATCCCGAGCGCCTCAACCTCGACATCCCACCGGAACGGGACTGGCTCGGGCGGGGCCTCCTTGGGTTTGCTCTCGCTTGATCGCAAGAAGATGGAAGAGGAAAGGTTGCAGAGGTTAGCCAAGCGGCGCCGCTCGCCAGAGGACGAAAGAAGTGTTGACGAGGTCCCGCCGGCAAAGAGGATGACACCATCCGAACCTTCCAGGCCTGTAACCGCACCGGCAACGGCACATGTATTACCGAGCTTCGTTCCCTATCCCAAAGGTGCTATCAAAAGAACTTGGGCCAAAGGGTATCCGCGGACTTCCGATGATATCAAGATCGAAGAAGTGTTTCAGAAGGACAAGTTAGAGCTTGCTCTTCTAAGCTCGTATCAGTGGGATGATGAATGGCTCATGTCCAAAATCGACCCGAGAAAGACCAAGCTGTTGCTCCTGGCATTCGCCGATAGTGAAGCCCAGGTGTGTATCAATGACCAGTCCTGACTCGTTCGGGATATCCCTCGCTGGGCCCCTCAAATAGACAAGACTAAGAGGCTGACGCCGAAACCTGCCGCAGAAATCAGAGATGCTATCAAATGCGCCACCGGGAATCAAGTTCGTCTTTCCGGCAATGAATGGGCCTGGGGCTATGCATTCCAAGCTGCAGTTGCTAAAGTACCCTGAGTATCTTCGAGTTGTGGTCCCAACTGCCAATCTCGTCCCCTATGATTGGGGGGAGACTGGCGTCATGGAGAACGTCTGTAGCTGAACCGAGGCGATTTGATGCCGTCCGTGACGGGATTGCTAATGAGTTCTCCAGATGGTCTTCGTGATCGACCTCCCTCGTTTAAAGGACCCCGCGAATTATCGGCAAACCGCATTCAGCACCGAGCTCGGCCGATTCTTGTCAGCAACTGGTGTTGGTGAGGGCATGGTCAGCAGCCTCGCAAACTACGACTTCTCACAGACAAAGCACCTTGGCTTTGTGTACACCATGTAAGCCTATCAAGACCTTGAAGATTGGGTCATGCATGGCCTGATGATCATCATGCTTGACCCGCATGAACGATGCACTGATACTAGATTCTAGCCCTGGTGGACATCAAGGAGATTCCTTGAAGCGAATAGGTCAGTGGACGCAAGTTTCGATGAATGTTGTGCAACAACGGCTCATGTCATGTAGGATACAGCGGGCTGGGCACCACTGTGGCTGCTCTCGGGCTAGCCACTGACGAACCAATCGAAGTGGATTTTATCGTGGGTACCATTAAAGTCGCATACCAGTCTAAAGAGCATTGATTCTAACCACGGATGAGCCTTACTGCAGTGCGCCTCTCTTGGATCGCTAAACTACGACTTGGTGGGCGCAATCTACAATGCATGTCAAGGTGAGGAGACGTCGATACTGTGTACCCCCCTCTGCTGTTTACCACACACATAGTCATTCACCTGTAATAGATGTGGACTGACGAGTGGTGAATTGCAGGAGATGATGGCATGGCCGAATACAAGTCGAGAATAGGCCGAACGGGCGCAGCGTCCAAAAGCAAGGCGTCAAACCCGTGGCAGAAGAAGCTAAAGGACCGTTTCCGAATATATTTTCCGACGGATGAGACAGTTGGCAGAAGTCGTGGTGGGCATAACGTAAGTTTACCTGGAGCATGGCATTGCATGGATGGATGATCTTGGATAAACTGGAGAATCCTCACATGCGACAAGAAAGACGCAATGAAAAGCCAACGCTAACTTGTGAGCGCGCTGATGCAGGCTGCGGGCACCATCTGTGTCCAGCCCAAATGGTGGCGCTCGCCAACCTTCCCCACTGAGCTGGTGCGGGACTGTGTTAACACCAGAGATGGGCTCCTGATGCACAGCAAGATGATCATGGTATCACAGACGCAAGCGGGAAGTCAATTGCAAACGCGTCCGCAAACGCGACCGGAGCCGCGACACCACGATTCAGGGCCGGCTGCCGCGGAGCCGAAAACGGAAGAGATGTCTCTTGGCTGGGTCTACATTGGCAGCGCAAATCTGTCAGAAAGCGCATGGTGAGTGAGACCCTGACCCTGCCCCCATCGAACCCCCTCTTTTCTGTAAGACATGGGGGAAACTTGAGACAAGGCAGCAAGCGAGCGAACATCAACGGGATGGTGCGGTTGTTTAGGTAGTGTAGCGCGCTACTAGCTGCCTCTTGAGGAGAATTTCAGCATGACTGGCACGAAACTGTGACGATCTCATGAATCTAACGCTGACGGTTGCGGCTACGTTGTGCCATACAGGGGCCGCATTGTCAAGGACCGAGCGACAGGACAGCCAAAGATGAGTTGTCGCAATTGGGAGAGCGGTGTTGTAGTGCGAATTAGCAACCCCAAAAACAGCAGCACCGTCTCCGCCAGCTTCAGCACCAGCGCCAGCGCGAGCGCCGGTGCCAGTTCCAGTACCAAGGTCAAGGCGGCAGAGGGCCAGGCACGGTCATCGGTGCGGGCGGGGAAGATATCGGCGGAGCCGGACAAGGGATGTGATACGAGCCAACACAATCATCACCACTACCAGATGCAGAAGCAGAATCAGAAACAGAAACAGGAGGAAGGGCTCACGGACACAGATGCACACGCAGATTCAGACATGATGAGCGGCGCTGTTTTCGAGGGCACAGTCCCAATACCAATGCGACGACCAGGTCGACGCTATGGTGAGGGTGAAGAGCCCTGGTTTTACAGTGTGCAGGGCTGATCGACCAGGGCGCGTTTGTTAGCCATTTTTGGGGCACTAAGCGATCAAAGATGAAGAAGAAGGGCAGAAGATGCACTGAACAGGTGATAGATGTTGAGGACGGCAGTTGTGAATAACCCTGTCATCTCAGTTTGATATTACGGTATTGTAAGATGGATTGGATGGGCGTTGGCCTCTGCGCAGTACCGTATCAGCCGTATGTACATATCTGGCAATCTGCAGATGCTCACGTTTCGGATTCGGCATCATTGATCAGTCGACGCAACGGTATTGCGATGCGGGCATGTGAACAGAACCGGTTGATAGCAAGGTCACGCCCGTTTACCGATGATAGTGATACCACCATATATCCCGTAAGGTGGTTAGTTTAATTACTATCAAATGGCTCTAGGGATTAATGACCCAGGTGTTTGCCAGGTCCAGGAATACAGATGGAGATGAGGAGACGTAATGAGTTGATTCTCTGAGTGTTAGTATCGTGGCGATGCGATGGGATGCGATTGGGATGCGACAGGGCACAGCCGATGCCAAGATGGGAGTTGGATCATTTCAAACGGAAGACGGAAGCACGACGAGCATCAGTATCTCAAACTGTGGGTTTGGGGTCGAATTTGCAAATCAAATCATCAAGGCCAGGACCAGGTATCTCGGTACTTGGCGGGCTGACAGTAAAACCCATGCGAATGGTCTCAAGCGATGACACACGATTACAA